GCGAGCCAAACGAAATTCCCGGAGTTCCCCGCGGTGCTCGAGCCACGGCGTATCGCGAAGCGCCGTTTAATCGGCGATCGGGTCCGTTGAATTAGCCGGGGACAGCCGGCGTGCGTAAATCACGCGCGGAATCGTTAATTAACCGTGGGGAACGGGCGAAGGGTTTCTGGAAAATGTCAGAGATCGGCGGCCACGCGCGCCACTACGCCTGACAGACGTACATACGATGACCGTAGGTTACCTGGGTTAAACACCGATGGTTTGAAGACTTTACTTTAGCTGTGAACTGACGATGAATGTTAAATAAATGTAAATCTATACAAGTCAGAACTCTTTAAGTTATTGACACTGTGACTGAGCTCAGCGGATTATGTAACACCGTGATATTTCTATCTTATATCGATGTATCATACCAATTTTGAACAAGTACCTAATGCGATACCGAAATCCTACAGGCACCTTTGGAAAAACCTTCGCAACGTACCAAGAACGATCAGCATCGTTTAGGACCCAAGAATTAGAAAGCGCGTTATCGCGCGGTCGAATCGTAGCCGCGAAGCAAATTTCAATGAAACAGTAGTTGGAAGGTAACCCTGATTCGCGATAATCGAAAAAGTCGGCGAACAGCGATCCCCTGCGTCGAATTAGCGAGCGATAGCCAGCAGGCGTAAATCACGCGCGGAATCGTTAATTAGGCTCGTGGAACGAGCGGAGAGTTTCTAGAAAATGTCAGCTACCGGGAGAGCCACGCGTGCCGCCGCGCTTGACAGATGCAAAAAGACGTTTAGACGCGCGCTATTCGCTCGCTGAAACGTGGAAGAGGTGGGTTGGTTTGGTCGGGGGTTGGGAGGAGGGGAGGCAATATCGGAATCGCTCGGACGTATGTAATTTGTCGCAAGCGGTGTTAATTTATAGCGCTTCCCAGAATTCACTCGAGCGCGGCAGATTAGGCCACGTGGATAAGGGCAGCCCATTAGAGTCAGTTCAAATGAGATTTCCGAGTATGCACGGAGGCTGACCGACGTATTGTGACCCGCATGCGCTTTGCATACATTTGCGTGTCGCGTGCTTGTTTGCTGGCGTGGAAAGTGGAAGGTTTCTTTCTCTCCCGGGTGGTCGGGCCACGTTTTCCCCTTTTCAGCGCTTAGGAGGTTACTTTTTGAGGTAACGCGCGCTAGATCGTTGATTACTTTCCCGTCAGATCGCGATTGACTCTTAGAGGGACCCGGCTTAAAATAAAAATAAAACTCGAGCTGCATAGAATCGCAGTCCTGTTGCTTTCTCAGTTTCAGGATTCAATATAACTGACTTCTCAAGTTGTATAAGGTACAGTCTTTCGATCAGACATCCAATTTATTAATCTAGCTAAGGTCGACAATAACGTCACTACGTTTAACGAATTTTACACAAAAGTGTTATCGTACGTCACCAGACCAGTAGATTACTATTAAGATGCGCCGAAACTACTAATCCAGCGTGGGGCTACGCGTTCCCCATCCATCCTCGGACTGGTTTTGAGCGAAACATTGAAATTAATGAAGTCGTCCGACTAGGGCCCAGAGCAGGGTAAATTAGAGATACACGGCAACCATTAGAATACTTAACGAGGACGTCATGGTGGGAAGCAGTGCGCGGGTGTGATGATGAATCACTGCCAGCTAGCTCACCGTGGAGCGCGCCCAGGAATATTAAATTAAGTTTACTTATTGTTGGCCAAAAAGTTCCAGGCGCCGTCTCCTCCTGCTTCCTCTGCGGTTTGGTCTCCTCTTCCTCGCTTCTGCTTCCCCTCCAGGATGATTTCACTCTTTCCACGAAACACACGGAAGCGAAGCAGTCTGGCCCTGACGAGGGTAGAAAGTTTGGAGGACGAGTCGAGGTGGTCTCGGCAAAGAGAGAAAAGAATTTGTGGTTTCTCTATTCTTCGCTTCTTTCTTCGGTCTTCCTGTTTCTGTCCACTCTTCTGCGATGAAAATTGTCCAAAGGTCTTCTTCTGCCTTTTATTTTAAGACGCCCAGCGCACGAACTGCGTGAGAATATTAATAATAAATGCTCCAGGCGTAGAATTCGTAGACACGCTCTCACGGTTGGTTTCTTGTTCACTTTGTACAAACTAATCAGCCCCTTGTCGTCTCTCTCGGAGCCATTGTTGCAGAAAACAGCGCCAGTTACGCGTATCAACCGCTGCCGTTTTTCTCTGCGGTTCAGCTTATACTCGATATTAGCAGGAGCAGATTCAGTCTCACCTGGCGAGGTGAAATGTGCGTTGCATAACTGGTAAGGCGGGGTCAATACGAAGCCGATCGGAAAAATAGATACGAGAGCGTACATTTCATCCAACTAAATATGTAGGTGTACTGGAATTAATAAGCCGCTCGTCGGCTTATTCGCAAACAGCGAAATGAAGAGTAAGCTCGAATAATACAACGAGCGCTGCGCCTCGGAACAGAGGCACGGTGGGTTATTTTCATCTCGAGGACTAATAATATCGGTGTTAAAGTGATAAATCATACCGCTAAGTATAACGACAGTTGCGAGCATTATTACAAGTAATGCTTATGCAAAATGTACCTCCGATAGACGTAAAGTGTTTTCTCGGTCGAGTTTAGATACTTTAGACCTGAATTTACGATCGATGAGAATGATTGATGCTCTCCATCGGTGGGTGATTTACAGAGGTTTCTGATCAGATTTTCGTGTTGGTGAAGTAACGCTTTAACGAGTGAAGTGGATTTTAATCAAATTGATTAGGAAGCTTAGACTGAATTTTGATAGAAAGAAAATCGAAGAGAATAGTTCGAGTAAGGCCGCTCCTGTTCGCGGTCCACCCTCTCTAAGGACCGCGAGGATTCGGCAAACAGAGTTGCTGGCGACAAAAGTTGACTTTGAGGGGGATAGAGGAACGAGTGTACTTTTTTTTCCGGTCGTCTATCTCTCGCTGTCGTTTCTTTTCTCTTATTTCCGTCCTCCCCTCTGGCGGAGTCCTTCGGGTTAGCGTCTCCTCCAGAGTTGAAATATACAAAATGAAATATGAAATAATGGTTCGTGCCTTGTGGCTGGCTGAAGGCACGGGCGCACCCATATCTACGCCCCCATGCGCTCTATGTACCTATACGGGGCCCCGTGCATGTACGGGCCGATCCCCGTGTACATATGTACGCGGCACACCGTATACATCCGCCTCGCTCAAGTTTTTCGTTCTTGTCGTGAACATCTTACGTTCGTATTAACCCTTATCCCTGCTTAATGATATTCCGGCCTACCATCCCGGGCATATTGAACGCAACTAAGGCAGATTCCAGCGCGTCTCGTCTCCACTCCGCTCGGCCAAGCCCTCCTGTAATTCGTATCTACGCTTCCCCCTTCTGACCATTTTTCTGTCTTCCATCGACCACCGACGGGCAATTAGGGGCCAGCCCCGGCTGGATGAATTAAGAGTATCGACGAACCGCGAACCTCTTATCGATCCACCGACCAACGACCGTGAATACTCCCCAGAAAATCTCTGCGTTCTATCCACCGCCACTGTGCCCACTAATCCCACCAGCTGGCTAACCTGGCGTTGTTATTCCGACCTTAAGGAAACCCTAGTACGAGATGTCTTAAACAATGGTCAAGGCTGAACTTGATCAGAGCTTCGATTTTCTATGTTCTATCGACAACCACTGGTGACTGCAAATCCCACGCTTTGGTTAGCCTGGCGTTGTTACTCTAAGCTTCCTCGACAAGAAAATCCCAATACAAGATATCTTAAACAATGGTCAAAGCTGAAATGACCCTTGATTCGAGCTTCCTATATTTCGTATGTTCTATCGACAACTACTGGTCACTGCATTCAATGAATCTTTTGACTTGTAAAACTTACTCGCGACAGAAAATTCAGTTTATCTGTATCTCGTAAATTGCAAAATTATGGTCATTGCGATGATTCTATAGATATCAGCTGGTATGAAATATAAAATTCATTTCGACGTAGCGACCATATCTCAAATAATTAAATAACGAAAAACTAGTTATTGTATTAAATATCTTCCTCGATATCAGGCAATCTTTATTTAGAAGACCGCGTAAGGAGTAATTTTCGAGCAAGTTGAGGTCATCGAGTAAAGTGACTTACCATGTACATGTATACTTGCGTACGAAGTTTATCGCGATTGCATAATATAAACAAAGCGAATCGAAAATAGCACCTGGGAGACAAACGTGTAAAATCCAAGTGTTCGAAAATTAAATAGCAATGAAAAATGCGATACCAATTAAATCTAAATTTTCCATAATTTTCTGAAATACCACACCTAATAATATTCTTATTATTCATACAATTTTTATTACTTTTCACGCTGTCCCGAAATTCAGGAACGTTGGCAAGCACTTCAGCAGTAAGTAAAATCACCAAACTATTATCTACATGTTACTACGAAATGGAAAGCCTTGGAAAAAAAAACTCGCAGCAACATTTAGTAGTGCACTCTGCAAGTTTATTACGTACGTAACGTAAGTACACTTACGTACACTTAGTGTACGTATTGTGGAAAGTATAGCGGAAAGAAAAACCGACTAAAAAAAATGCTATCTTTTCGTGTCTCGTTTCTATACTTTGGTAAGAAAAACTGTGAATTACTGTAAATTATTGTCCACGTGACATGTTGCAAGTTGCAATGGGCTGATATCTAAACGAGCTTGTGTTCAAAATACTCGAGATTAGAGTTCGAGAAGGCATATTTTACCTACTACACCGTAAGAAATTGCAACAATTACAATGAGACATAGCCTTATCTTTCTATGTTTCGATTATATAAATCCTCTATCTTCTGAGATGGAAATATTAAGAGTCGACATGTGGACGTTTTTCAATTTTAAACCCGGTATGAGTTTGTCCTCCTGTCTCTACCCTCCATAGTGCAAGGGTTAACCGTACCATAGCTGGGTCGCTCGAAAAATGTTGCACGTTGAAAAAACGGTGGACCTCTCGCTGGCTAACGGTCACGTCGCGTGTATTTCAGGAAAGAAATGGCGAGGGTTGACCCCGCAGGACAGAAGGCCGTACGTCGAGGAAGCCGAGAGGCTGAGGGTCATACACATGCAGGAACATCCGAACTACAAGTACAGGCCACGGCGCAGGAAACACGCGAAACGGGCCCCAGGGGCACCGTCCTCACCTCCGTCCGCGACCAACACCGTTGGCAATAGGTCCAACCCCGCCGGTGCCACGATACATCATTCCATGTAAGTCGATATCTTTTTCCCCTCGGTTCGTGTCGATTTCTCAAGATCATCCCGCCACCGTCAGCGAATCAATCGCGGACGCGAGGACCCTGGGCCTCCAGCCAACGCGATGCGCAGATTAAAAAGCCCGAGGCACTCGAATTGCTCCGCGACAAGGTCTTCTTCGGGAATTAATTCCGAGTAAACGGACGCAAGTCCAGATTTTTCCTTTTACGCGATGTTTGTACATATCTTCGAGATTGCGAAACAATTGTTTTCGTTGCATGAACGCGAGTATTAAAAAATGGCCCGGCGTGCAGTCGATGAAAGGGCCATTTTTTAAAAATTTCTGACGATTTTGAGGCAATCTGAGCATCGAAAGCGAAGCCATTACAATGTTATTGGAGATTTGGTTATTCTTAAACCCTGACGTTGTTACTGTTATGTCCGTTTAAGGTCCAAGATGGACAATTACCAAGGCATTCCTCAGATCCCGTGGGGCGGCCATTCCCCGATCTCGTCCCTGTATCACCAGCAGCAGCAGCAGAGTATCCAGGAGTACAAATCGGAGAACAATTCCTTGTACGGTAGCCCTTATACGCCTATCATTCACACACCGGACATATCTCCAGTTGCCAGTCCCGAGCCAGATGGTGAGACCTTGTACTCGCATTAATTAGCATTCAGGCTACCGTAAGGACGTCGCGAGTCAAGTCTCTCGCCGAAGAATCGTCTTGAGAAATTACGTATCATACTTCATGTTCGCTGTTGAGAGCATGTTAACGCATCGTTGATCTCCTGTTTATGCAATCAAACACGTTCCTTTCCAATTAATCTCGCTTTTCACTTGTAAAAGTCGCGTGTACCTCCTGTAGCTCTTGTGTACAATTTTATAATTATTGCACAGAGAGTATCCTCGTATCACCTTCCATTTTGGTCCATTCGATCCTATGATCCATGGTAAGCTCTCCGACCAACGATGCGTCGACAAACGATTTTCGCGCACGTCCAAAATGTTCGAAATCTTCAATTCGTTGATGTAATTCGATTGTTATCCGTTTTCACGTTGCTAGGGAATTATGTTTCGTTCGAATTACCCTGGGATTAATCTTGATCAGGTGACGGAACGCATTTGCCATCCAGCCAGAACCAAGATCCCGAACGAGATCTGATGGAGGGTACGTCGAAGCAGCACGGCGAAATGAACGAGCAAACGAAACGGTACACCTTTATGAGCGCCGATAATCAGCTGCACACGGGTCATGCTGGTGGCACTAGCATATCATCGTGTCAGAATTCTGGCGGCTACACGGACACGTTAACTTACAAGAAATCGGTGAGTGCCATTATCGTGTAGAAAACTCTGTTGACGAGTCTTGTGGAGGCTCGTGTATAATTAAGTTCTGACTTCATTTTCAGTAATTCTATAGTTGTACTATACTACTAAAAATGACTACTCAAAATGAAATCAGAGCTCTCAATTATTTATGATTATTAGATTACCTAGGTACTCTACGATTTCTGAACGCTGTTTTCAGGTGAGCTACTTGAATTTCGAAAGGCAGCCGTCGAGCATAGCCGCGGTGGGCATAGCGAACGGGATGATGGTGTCGTGTAACAAGCTGCGCTCCGGGTTCGAAAACGTTGGCTCCGTCACGGGGACTTTTTATCCGCCAGTCGCATCCCCGCACGATCAATCGTTGCAGCACTACACGAGCACTCAGTCCTCGAAGAATGCCAGCTATTCGATGCAGTCCACCGTCGAGGGTAACTATAATCCTGTCCAGTGTGCCAATCGACAGCAGTCCATGGGGATTCGCGGAGCCGCCGAAGGTTGTTCCGGTAATGTTTCATTCATTTTTGCTTGCGTTGGAATGTTACACTTGGACGGATTCCAGCCGACCGAGGATGCGCAGCTTGAGCAATTCTGTTTCTCCTTTTTCAATCCTCTCGTTGCCTTTATTCGAACGTCCTCGCTTGTATCTTGATCTCGTTTAAATGTTTCCTGGGCGGATCACGCGTTGCCAAAATCGTACCACGGATACTTTAATTTATATCTTCTGTTTGGTACCAAGTCTCCAAAGCCTGCGTACAAGGCTCCAGACTTCGTACAGACTTATCCTTCTTACTAACGCGCGGTCCAATTACTTTCAGGCGTGTCCCACCGGTACCAAATGACTCATCATCAGGAGTACCAACAGGAAACTGGCGGTACGGGGCAGCAGCACTCTATATTGGGGCACATGGACCCTGGGATGACCGCGGATGAGGAGCAGCAACAGTCGTTGCAGCTGGAGAAGTACTTCAAGTACGCTCACCCGACGAGCGTGGCTCACAGCAGCCTGTCATCGCAGAATATGCTCGACAGTAATCACAATTACGCCAGTGATCTACGTTATTACGCCCCGCAGCAGTCCCAGATGGACATGTCGAACTCTCAGTGCATCGTGGACGATCAGAATAAAGACGGTCGTTGCTCCAACGTTGGCATCGGCCACGCGATGGACCAGTATCATCAGGGTATGGACGTGGGGAAGTATTCCGACCATCAGTCGCAACAGCAGCAGCAGCAGCAACAACAGCAACAACAACAGCAGCAACAGCAGCAGCAACAGTCCCAGCAGCAATCTCAGAACATGGAGCACGTGTCGAAGGCGGACGACGATTTCAGTGTAATACTTGCTGACGTGCGCAAGACATGTTACAGTAGCTAGTGTCCCCCTCCCCCACTCTAGACATTTTTTTGATACGGGCGACTTATCTTATGGCTGTAGTACCAAGAATCCGTAGGTATATAGCGTTTACAAAGAATCCGGTGCTTATACACATTTTATACTCCGTACACACACACTCAAACACTTCCGGTGCTGATCGTTCTTAATTGCAGAGTGGATCATCTGATCACTGTTTCTTGACGAAAAAAAGACAGATTCTCTTCGAAGACCTTCATGCGCAATCTTCTCACGGCTGGTATGAAAGATGATAAATGGTAGCGATGTGCCGATACCCGAAATCTTTAGGTGTGCTTGCTCAAGGAAAGTTGGCGAGGCTGTGCAATGTGTAGAAGCGGAAGAAGGTACAAGAAAGTAAATAAGGACGCGCTAGGAACGATCCTAGGATTCCTTTGTGGTAAGCGTTGCGGTGCAGTCGTATTTAATATTTATTATGTATAATATTTATTGTGCAACCTTCGTTGCTGAGCTATTCAACCAAGATCTCACGAACCCTTTTAAAAAAACACTTAATCTTGTTTATGTAGTTAAAAAGAAAAAAGAAATAGTAACTTCTAGAAGTTCATCGCGATCTCCATAAAACAACCTACATTTTCGGGTACTCGCACAATGCTAAACATTATCGATTTTCTAACGTTCCGTTCGGAAATTGTTCACGTAGAATGCGACGCAATTTATCTCGTAGTTATCATTATCTTCAGCAACGGAATCGGTGAAACCCGCGACGTTATTGTTGAGCTATTTTTATCCACCTATGCACTCATGGTACCGCATAGCACTGTATATTTAGAACATACCAGTATATTTCACTGCGAAAATAGATCGTTCGAACGATTTCCATAGCAAATTAAACGTATCGATTCTCTTTAGCAATGGATCCTTCGGCAGGCTACTTAAAAGATGCTGTTCCGTTCTGATATTCATCGAGAGTGAATGGGAAAATCTGTTCTTTAGCGCTGACACTGTGACATTTAGTCATATTATTTATAACATTAATGGAAAATGTATGTGTATAGAATGGAGACACAGTTCTGCGATATTTTGACAATTAGCCGACGAGTGGGACAGACTCCTTTGGCGGTCCTACGTCGAATGGTTACTACAGTTTCTTCCAATCACAATTCACCGCGTCGGCTAAATGTTGAAAATAGTTCACGTGAGAAGTACTTAGCGAAAAAATCGATACGAAGGCATCGCCGACGAACCTTGTTTCCAATAATCGTACATTTAAGATTCTCCTACCATCGCATGTGTATAAGCACGATCTCTTAAACTTTCCTCTGTTCAGCCGACTGAATTGAAATTCGCTGTAAATGTAGCGTGAATAGCAAGAAACGAATTTTTTTACTCGCGTAGGCTTCTCACTTTCGTTGTTCTACCCTATGTCTATGTAGCATATGATTATACGTAGCGTGGCAATAAAACGTGGATATTTTATCTGTTCGATGTTGAATTTGAAATAATTTCTAAGCGATGGAATTTAGGTAAGTGTAAAGAAACGCTGGGAAGTGCTAAATTATTTTATGATTATTGTATCGTACTTAATAGAAACAATTATCAACATTCATTATGTATCCCTCGTGTATTTCTCGACCATTCCGAACGAATTTCCGTTCAATTGTTATATTTAAGTTGATTAATTTTAATTGTTGTATGGTGAACCAATTTGGATCACGCGAGAAACAAGTGATTCGCGTATTATATATATATATATATATATATATATATATATATATATATATATATATATACATACATGTTATTTAAGGGTACGAACGTTTTACGCATGCGACGAACGCAATCAAACATGATTATTATTTATTCATTCTTTTTATTAAATATATATAAAAAATATGTGTATAAGTTACAATGTTATGTGTAAAGCTGAAATCATATACGGTGAGTTACATCGAGTTCTGATTCGGTATGTCGATAGAAAACGTTTAAATGCTAGAGCATACTCTCTCCGTTTCCACCCTTATTGTATACAATAACTCCCGTTCGCTTTCCCAGAAAAGAAAAAGTTTTCCCGCAACAACCATTGCGGAGTTTACCTTGGTAAATCAGTACGTTTCGTTATGTGAGAGAGGACTAACATCGAGCGAGTGACTCATTCAAACAGGAACAATTTGTTTGAAATATTTCCCTTACTTTGGACCATGTCAGAATTAGTATTTATACCCTCATTGTTCGTGTGTGTATCCCTTATTTAAACATGCATTAACGACACATATAATTCATGGAAGTTCTAACGACAGTATCTCGAACGTATCTGCGATTCACCTATGATTTTCTTGGTAACTATATAACCCTATCCACATACGTATATACACATGTACAAATTTATATTGCTGTTTTGCAAACTTAACCGATTACACTCCACATACAAATTGCTTTAACGAGTTGTGCCACAACGATTCACTCCCATGACACGAAGATTCGCGACGAACGTTGGCTAACTCTTGGCTTTTCTTTTTTATAATAAATATAGTCATTTGGCGATACCAAATGTAACGATGTCCAGTGCCATTTGACACGTGGTACAAATTTCACACATATCGGATTACAGGCGTAAGTATGTGCAATTCAGTTTTTTCTTTTTTTCACTTACACTAGAGGATTCTTTAAACGCGTTAAATTCGTTAAATAATTCATGTCCGTGAGGAAGCGCGTAGAACTGCGTCGTGTGTACACATATATTACGTTTAGTATTAAATTGGACAGATATTGCAGTCTTGTTTGTAGCGATTTGCTATGAAATGTATACTGTCGTTTCTCTCTCTCTCTCTCTCTCTCTCTCTCTCTCTCTCTCTCTTTCTCTCATAAATGCAAAGCAACTTCTTTCGTACAAATAGCAAACGCAAACTCTTTATACAAATTGATCGTTTTACCCGCAATTCGATATTGCAAATCTTATACTACAAACTGTACACAATTTGATTAACTGCAGCCTTTATATACAGACCTAATTTATTTGTGTGCTTTCTTTCATTATTTTTGTATTTACCGTAGGTCGCGCGAGTATTCGAAAGCTTGCAATCGAAACGTTTCAATTAACAAAATGTATCAATTGTAAACGTAATAATAATTTACTGTAAACAAAAATTTTGTTGATATAATTCTGATGATAGTGTGATTGATATATCTCGTTTATTAAAGTATTTCGTTGCACTTTTCGAATACTATCGCGATCAACTGTATATTACAACGTGCGTGTTACACTATATACAATTGAAACTTAACTTATACGTGTAAATGGCAGCTTTACAAGTCATGTATAAAACTCTATACACACATAATGCATTCTGGCATTGCACGTGAATAAATTCGACGCAGACGTCTTTACGTTACCCTGAATGGATTATTTGTAACCCATGCTATTCTCACTGTGTACAATGTTTACCGTCAACCAACGCCAGTTGTACCTGACAGATGTAAACAGTAAGGGAAAACAGTCGCTTTCAAGCTCGCGAAGAGCTCGAACGTTCTTCGAACGACCGTACGTCTTTAATTAACTATTATTTTGCAACAAAGTATCTGAATCCACGATCGCTACACAACTGCACGTGTACTGCTTGTGACGATATATGTACGTACATATGTTTCTTTAGTACTTTTAAGATACATTGTGCATATTATTGATTATATCAGAAATGTTGTTCATTTCGATAAATACGCTAAAAGATTCCACTCGGGAATGTAACACGACGACGAGTCAAATTGAAGTTTACGTATTATAAGATATGATATAAGTCTTTTGGGATGTAGCTTCTCTTTCTTTTCTTCACTCGTTACACCGTTTCTTATAACAAAATATTCTGAGTCGTTACACTAGCGAAATGTAAATATTGCTGTTACAAATGTATCCATTCAGAAAAGTCTATAAAAGTGAGAATACGTCTAAAAATGACGATCTTAAATAATTCGATCTACTCTAGTTTTGTGTTCTTGAAAATATGCCATCGAAGAAATAGAAACCGATCAACTAATAATGGAAAATACGTTGCTACGTTAAATAGGAAAATATTGCTCAGGAATCATTTCGAGTGAAATTTTTCGTATGTTTCGCTAAACGCGAGCACCGCGTGGAGCGGTCTATTATTAAAATAATTTTTATGCGTGTATGCGACAAGCTTGGAAATTCGATGAGATCAATGACGATTTGTCAAATGTACACAAGTAACAAAAATAGCCTTTACAGCAATTGTTTACTTTTATAGATATCGGAACATTGGCATGAGTAGAACTCCAAAAGAAGAGGAAATTTCATGGCTACGCGATCTCTGTTGACGTAAAAATGGTAAGTTATCCTGCTTACGGTAAACCTTTTTATAGTTTGAACAACCTTACCCATCTTATTACACTAGAATCTATATACCTACAGTGTTCTTATGTGTCATTCATCCCATAAACAATTCTGTTTCATTTTAGAGTAGTATGAGAATATAAAACACTTTTTACAAGTCTTAATACCACATTTATACGGAGCGGCTACTTTTTTACCGTCGCTTTTGCTCTTACAGAATTTCAAACCGCACGGGTACCACCCGATGCATAACTCTAACGAACACGTGCAAGGTGCCCACATGTTAGACGTGTCCGAGCACCTTGTCACGAATAATGATCTAGAATCGTTTGTACCTTGTTGCGTTACGGAGTTTGTGCTGAAGTTGTACACAGCCGCCATAAGCGAAAGTTCTGACGAGCCTAACGAATTAAAAAACAACATTTTACATACACCATCAGAAGTCTGATAGAAACTACTTTTATAGCAGCGAATAAATGTGCCGCAAAGTGCTTCATATTATGAAGAGAGATGAACTGTGATATTGACTAACAAGCAGCAACCAGGAGCGGAAAGGGCAACAGAGATAAATAATACTCCAAAATAAACCACAAGCCAGGAAAGGTTTGGAAATCTGATAATAACTCCGAATATGTGGAATATATTTTGTCTAAATGTAAGTGCAACTCACCAGGCCTCTGAATCCATTGTTTAATGTCCTCATTCCTGGTATAAGCAGATCCTGCTGCTTCTCCGCAAAGAGTTGCAATGTGCTTAGAAATATCTTTAGACTCTGCCACGTCCAAAAACAGGTCCATGGTATAGTTTACATGACCCTTGTCTTCCTCTGCTACACGAATGGTGCCTGGGTTCTTTTGTCTCAATTTGGACATCGCATCGGAGGATATGAAATCCACCTTGAAGAAGTGATTCACGAAGCACAAGACCTGATACTGATTTTGACCGCGTTCTTCCTCGCCAAGGACCAAGGCTTTTATAATCTGTACTTCCTACACAGAAATTTTGAACATTGTGGCAATGTTTATAAAAACATCAACAACACAATTCATTTCAGAAGGACTAATTACATTTTTGAAGTCGATGAGCTGTGTCACCAAAGTGCCATCGGAGCATTGAAATTCTAAAGTGATTACATCCTCTGTGACGTTGGATGAAATTGTCTCCAGAAGAATATCACCACCCTGCGAGACAAAAGACACAAATGGCACGTACAGTCGATTCATTACCGAATCCCTTTGTTGCTACACTCTATTGTTTTTGAGGTTAATGCGATTAACTATTGCATCAAGAACACCTATATCGATTTAATTTTTTTGCAACGAATTGTTTTCACGATCGTATTCTTTTCGAACGACAAAACTGTCGATGGCTGAAGAAAATAAACGAGTTCGTACCTGATTTTTGACATTTATGAGCAAGTGAGTCGTACAAACACCGTACAAATATTGCAATACGAAGCAAACTGTGAATAATTCGTTGAGCATCTTCATTGTCGCATGTTGTAACTGCGTTCGTCGCGGTATCGAGAACTTTTGCAATTAACTTTGATGAATCGACATTTATTTGAATAATAAATACTTTAAAGATAACCTATTGGTAAGAACCGCCTACTCCGCACTCCATGGCGGTCGAACATTCACTCCCTAGGGGCATACACTACAAACTATATAGACGAGCACACTATATAGATGAGATTCGCCAAAAATTGAATTTTATTATTCTTTTATCGATATAAAATATCCTCAGTTTTATTCGGTACATCGTGTTAAAACTCTCTCGCTGTCCTGCGATTTCATCGTAATAGAACTTCGTTGTATGCTCGTTCGTCCAGTTAAGGGTGCTTTGGAAGACAAGCAAGATTCGTTATCTTCTCTGCAACTTTACAAGGTAAACACTGTTTTATTGAATGAAATCAACACAATGTTAAAATTTTCGATCGACACTTACAGAACTTTCGATCGTAACTCTGACAACGTGGGTGGAGTATTAGGTCTCTCGACTGGTTTCAAATCGTACATTTTCAGATGCTCGTAAACTGGAATCTGTAAACGCACTTTTCTTGTAAATTCGCGCTCAAATAACCATTCGAATAATTTCTGTTCTTCTAAATTTCAAAGTCCTCCAAACAGATTTAAATATTCCCGCCGAAAAGCGCAACCACGGACTACAGAGTTACTAGATAGAAGCACACTCACATAAGACAGGGACGTGTCGAGAATCGTTGGCTCGATATACTTCTTTGAAATATCAGGGACTCGATAAAAGCTACCCAGTATCGGTGGTCGCAGGCTCTTTCCATAAATAAACGTCGTTTCGTTGTCACTCGAGTCCGACTCGTTTGAGTCGGCCAAAGCCAGATCTTTCTCTTCGATTACATCTGCATTCTCCATCTCGTCGAACGATCTCTGGCTAACCGATCGAGCGGCAAAGTCTTGAACCGCGACCAGGCTGAACTACTTTCGCAGAAATAAAGCCAGGGGACCCACTTCGAGTCAAGTACCAGCCTCTAGAATTCTAGATAACGATTCGAGAGTGCTCTCCAACGTTACGCCCGCCGAAGGGTTCACGAACTGAAGTTCCGCGGGCCGATATTTGGTCGATAAGCTCCGCTCTATTGAGCAACGGGCACCGAGGAGAGTTACCATTCGCTCCCCTGGAACGTAATTATTCCTTTCCCCCATTGTTTCCTCCCTTGCAGATTTTTGTTTAATTTCTATGTGGAGGGAAATAAAGAAAGAAAGCATCCCCATAGCGTCCACCCACGTGCACGATAAGGGATGAGACATCAACGACACATTGTGTGTTGCAATGTTTGCGCTTATCAGCTCCATCGTACAATAATGATACCTACTTTATTATGCATCGTTTCACTCGTCCGACAAAAGCAAGTTCAATTTCGCAACGTTGAAAGGGAAAATAAAACGAAACGGCACGAAAATGCAATTGCGTTTTCGCATCTTTGAGGTGCAACGGATGGAAAATAATCCGACGGAAAAATAATATCGCGTTCTCTCGCCACTTTGAGACGCAAGAGACGAAAAAGTAAAACGAAATGAACGTAATATTGCGTGTTGTACACCTTCCAAGTATGAGACGCGAAAGCGTAAGGGATGGAAAGACGCTTTTTCGTCGCACGGGAAATACAAATCTCGATGAAGTACTGTATTGGCAATTTTATCACGTAAAGGAATATAGCAGTACGACGCAGAAGACCTAAGAGTGAGGTTGAAACGTTGCAGGGAATATGCAAATATTAGTCGCCGTCTAGTTTTGTCGCAGCATTAAACAGAAAGAAATTGAATCGATCGAACGATACTATTCCTGTATTTGGAAACCATTGTCAAGCACGAGGACGTACACGTGTCCCCGAGTGCTCCTCAGAAAATAACGCAAAATATACACTATATATGGCCACGTCAAACGCGTCTATTATTATTCTCGATTCAGCTCGTCATAGGTATGGTATAAGCTATTTGTCTCCTACCTTGCGGACATCTGTCTTCAACCACGGTCACGCATACGTGGTGGAATGACCATTCGAACAATCTTCGCGAATCTATACACTTGGTACAAGAATTCTTTTTTAAAGAGAACTCTGGGAGTAGAAAAGGTTAAACATTTCTGGTACGACACGTTACATTGATTCTTATTTCCGTGGTATCTCGGATACAGAAACTAAGGTCCTGAAAGTGGGTCTTCTTTGATCTAATCCGTTTACCTAATAGCTCGTATAATAATAAATAAAAATATCGTTACAAAAATACCGACAAAGTCGCAATCAAAGGGGAAAGATACTGGAAGAATGAAGTATCAAGAATCCTCATCGAGACGGAAGATTCCGAGTGTCCCACACTTTCGTAGCATAAGGAAATCGATTCATAACTCGGGGCCATTCATGGTCCGACACGAGGACTTCAACTCCGAGAATATCCTAATAGGGGCTGTTCATACATTGCGAAATCAATTATTCTAAACCACATGTGTTTCATTAGAGAATAATCTTTTCAAATTTTTGTAACTCTTCGTAATATTGAATATTCGTGAATATTTTAAGTGTAATCATCCTGCGTAAGACATGGTAACGAATATCTGTTGCGAGCAGATAACAGCCCCATCGATGGGTGGATGTAATTTTAGAATCACATGACATTAGAGAGGGTTAAGAGGGTTTTCCCATGTCTGAGAGTCTATCGTATTTTTGCTATCATTTCTTAAAGCGTAGGGTTTCGGGTAGCAACCCTAAAGGGACGTGCAAGAATAAACATCGTTGCAACCCTCGACATAACCTAGCTACCTGCTCCGAAGCTCAAACCACCCCAAAGTCGCAACGTACCCTCGTCGTCTGGAATTAGTCACATTCGACTTGTCCGTACGTGAAAGCGTTCAATTGTTCCAACGATCCCTAGTCGTCGTTTCCGAAACCGATCCGCGCCCATTCAAGCCTGCGTCGCGTAGGGGGTGGGGACGTAATCCAGAAGGGTGAGTTCCATCAAACGTCCGCGGCCGAGCGTGACGTCGTGCCGGCGAAGACGGTGATCTCCGGCGTCGAATCACGGGCGTCCCAGGCGCACGCGTCCGCCAACCGATATCAAACGACGGGGAGGCGGACGGCGCAGAGCGTCGGTTCCGTCGAAACGGCGGAAAACGTAACGTGTTTTATCGATTTCGTCGGGGTCGGCCATGTTCGTGTCCGCCAGCGGTCAGGCGCACTCGTGTCCCACCTCGAGAGACCGTGCCATCGATAGATTTTCCACCGTCTACACCGTCGTCGATGTCGCTGGGCGTATAACGATGCGCTTGTAAAACGCGACCCCCGTGTTTCCCACCACGACGAGATACCACGTACGTTTTCGCATCGACTTTGGTTCGCGTGACTGCAGCTTGACGAGCAACCACCCAGGCGAGGAAGCAACCCCCGTTCGAGAGCAGGCAGCCCACCAACAACCGCCGTGAGTAGAACTCTCCTCGCGGAGCAACCCTTATCCTCCAGAAACTGTTCTCTCGTTCCTCTTCGCGTTACGACACCGATACATTCCGTGGTTATTTCGACTAGTGCTTTCGGGGAATTTTCCTTTCGGGGAAGCTTCTACGGTTTCCGAAGCCTTCTCGAGAAAGCTAGCTCCCTGTGCCTCTACCACCGAGTATCATCGTTGTCAGTTCCGGTTAGTGATCGCGGGCTACCATGATTTCGAGGCTTTTCTGGGTCGCAAGGTAGTCCTAGATGCTTTCGTAGTTGGTCGCTTTTACTCCGTTTCGGTGGTTTTCATCGTCGATGGTAATGCCTGGCGCGTTTAGGTTCTCGTACACGAGCGGAGATTATAGATTTCTCGAACCGCGAGAAAGCTATTTCTGGTTACTACCGCTGCTAACCTTCTGCCATTTCTCTGTGGGTCGTCTTTTCGGGGTGGTTGTCACACTTGTTAGCGGCAGTCTGTTATTTCCATTTATGTGGGTCGGTTTTGAGCTTCTGATTTGGGGTCTGTTGGTAGTAGTCCGGTACGTCTGTCTCTTGTTATTGGATTTAGGTGGTGGTTAGATTTTCTGAGGTGATAGTTTAATTTTTGTTAAATTGTGATATCCTATTTCTACCTATGTGGGTGCTGGTTAAGCATACTTCTCCAGGCAGTATTTAAAGTTGGCAATCGGACCCTGTCAGCAGTGGCAGTCTATCATGTCTACCTCTCGACCATCGCGAGTCGTTTATCATCCTGGAGATGACAGTTGGGTTTTATTACTCGTAGACTGATATTTTCACCTACGTATCTCGCTCTCTCTCTCTCTCTCTCTCTCTCTCTCTCTCTCTCTCTCTCTCTCTTTTTCTCTCTCTGCTGGCAGATGGACTCTATTAGCGACAATCTATCATTTCTGCTGCTTTGAATTGTTTCTGGAGGTGCCAGGCGAAATTTCCAAGTAGCATTCACATCTCTCAATTTTACTTATTTCCAGACGGTAGTTAAACTTCTAATACTCTGCAATCTCCATCTCCGTGGGTTATTTCCTAGAGCGACAGCCACGTTCAGATAACAGTACCAAGCTATTAGTCTACCTCTCTGTCACCCTGGCTCATTACTCAATGAGCAAACTTTATCCACAGCAGTCTGTGATTCCAATCTCCGGGCCATTTCGTCTTACCCAACGTTCAAGCTCCGTCAATACCATCGGTCTATGGGTTTATGGGTTGTCTATGGGCCAGTGGATCATACCCATTTCTAACTCTCTCACATTCCAAAATATCCACGAAACCCTCGTGTCCCGTCGTCCTATATTTCGAAACACCAGGGTTTCGCTCGTTTCGTTCCTGGATCGTCCTCGAGACTGTCGTTCGTAAAGTTTCCCCTCGTTTTACCTTTGACTTCTACGTCCACCGTTGCGCGAATCGCTCTGAACTCTCTCCCTGGACTTCACGGGTCGTCGATCGTTTCAGAAACGTTCCCTTCCCTTCGCTGCACCCGTGAACCGTGAGGACTCTTCTTTGCCGCGGTCAGCTTTCGAGCCTTCGGTTTGTGCAGCGGCCAGTCGACCGACATGATCGCGCTGAAACTGCTGTTCCTATTTTGCCGCAACCTTTTCAACCTTATTATCGTTCTGTGGCCTGTGGTTAATCCCCACGCTGGACTAAGTGCAATTTAGTCGATTCGTTTACGAAAGGGACGAACTCTGGGGTCCGACAAAACTAGGACTGTAGGTGAATCAATGGTGTGTTGCAGTGGATCAAAGCTGGCGATAGGGTTGATGTGAGCTGGGGTTTGGTGTCGATAGAAGACCTTCTTGGAGATAGAGAGATCTTCGTAGAGATATTCTGAGTAATAGGAATTTTAGGAGGATGAGGTTTGAGACTATATCCAAGTGTATCGATTCTCGGTTTCCCCTCGATAGAACCATAACCGTCACATTAACGCAGGGTTTAATCCACCATGTTTAATCCACATTTTCGTTGTACCATTGAGAAACGAAGAGAAAGAGTGTAAATTCGACGCACAGAAGTAAAGATAAGCGTACGAATTCTGTGCAAAGGCGAGGAGTAGGTATATATGCTGTTATTAACCTAACCTCGATACGTATCTCTGAAAACGTGAGCAACACCAGCCTATCGATCCTCCTCCAGCATTCCCGGCGTGAAATTTCATGCTTCTAATTTTCTCCGGTATCGATGGCATCGCTGCGCTCCGAACGCGGAAGTCGATCGCTACCAGAGCCCGTGAGTGAACGTCGGTGGACCCCGTGGGTCCTCTTTTCGCGAACCCAACCCCTTTGTTGTCCCGTTAGCACACTTTCTGACAACTTTACTTGTCCATATCAACCTCCTCTGTTTTATTATCTGTCTTTCTTGCTCGGTCTGTTTCAGTCTTCATCCACTCTCTTAAGTAAACACTCGATCGAATAAATCGCTACAGTATTATTTTTATTCGGCACCTATCGAATCGAATTCTGCTCGTGATTCGTTACAAGGGTGCTAGCGATACAACGCGAATAGTGATCGACGCGAGGAACGTCCTTCCGGATGATATCGAGGCCAGTCGATAGTCGATTGACCGTTATCTTAAAGAATAGACGATAACGTTGGAACGAATTAGATAACAGCGACGAACAGAATGTGTCTAGGAAAGTACATTTGCCGTGTGGTCTCGATAAGCTTCGCGAAACACCCTTTTATTATTCGTCGCGCGCTATTCGAATAAAAATTTGCCCCTGTCCCCTGGGCTGAAGGCACTAAACGTAATTAATGTTTCGCGACGAGTGCCGTCTCCCCGGTGCTCGACCACTTTGCGACCCGTAAACTCGCAACGAGATTGAATTTATAAGTCGGTGAAATTGCTCGAGTGCGCTTCACCGTGATTCGAAAGCAGAAATCGCCTCGATTGGTCGGTGGTCTGGGTTGTAAAGCTAATTACGCGTCGCACGACCTAACGTGAACCAGGCTTAATGCTGCTATTAACGCCGATTAATCGCTCGCCGCACAAATTAGTTCCTACGCGTTAATAGGATTCGCCGTTAGGCAGAAAACGACGTGAAAGGTACAGGACGGCGAAGAATGATCGATGGCGCGCGAAGGGTTTACAAAAAGGGGAATGAAACAGAAATTTGCTTGCCCGAACCGTATCGAGCAAACTTTATTTATTGTGCGTATATTCCTGGGGACAAAAATACGAATTCGTCCGAATTTGACAACGTCCAGTTCAAGTATTCATGCTACCCTTTTTTTAGAACGTGGAACGTCGCATCGAGAATAGAAAACCGGGTTGTGGTAATAGTCTCGAAGTGAACAGTGGAGAGAAGATTATTTTTAGGCGCGCTACGTCGTATTATAGAAACAATTGTTTTAAACGGACGTTTCGCGGTACTCTAATAGCGCGTAGAGACATAGGAATTTCAGAATGTCTATAGAAGCAGAGACTGAGAAGTCGCGGTTAATATTATTGGACCAGTATCTATAAGCATGAGGTCGTATCGATTCGAGCTTTGACTATGCACTTGTGCCCACTATTGCTCGATGCACGCCAGCAAAACCCAGATCCTATTCGAACACAATGCTAGTCGAAGACAAACGCACCCTGAATCTCACGAGTGATTGTTGTAATCGCGCAACGACAGCAATCGTAGAGTAATTCTGTAATAATAGCAGACGTAGGCTTCCTACGAACTTATACTAGTTTTTGCTCTAATTTCGGTGCGAGATCTATCACTCCATTTCGTTATAAAATTTCTGTTGACTTAATATCGATTAAATAGTTGTCTGAATATTTGTCGAGCGCTTCTTTCGAAAAGAAAACAGATCCCAATGGCACGACAAGCTCGAATCTCATAGCGGACTCGGGATGTTTTGCGAGCATCTTCAATTATAGGTGTAATAACATGGAACGTCGGTTGAAACGTGTTCTTTGGTGGGGTGGACGGTTTAGTGGCCAGACGAGAGAGTGCACGCGATTGCCTTGATTAAAGTGTGCTTCTGAAAGAATA